TATATATATATATATATATATATATATATACACACACACACACACACACACATTATATTTGTAGTAAATCAAATTAGACAACAAATCTATATTTAATTTGATCTACTAAAATAATTAAAATAGTATGTAATATTAACTAATATATGTAAAGTAACAATGTTTTTTTTAATGGTTTTAGTTTTAGTTTTACTTAAGTAAATATTTCCACAAAAATAAATGTGCCACATCATGCGCCTTTTGGAGATGGGTAATATTTTTGAAGCAACAGTTCATTTATAAATTCACACATAACATTTGTACATTTCAGAGGGGAAAAAAACTGGCTTGAGTGTAAATTCATTGGTCAAAAGGCTGTACGCATTAAACACTTATAGTAACGAGTACAAAAATAGTAGTTCAATCACAATAATTAAGTGATTTGACTAGTTTAATGTGCAAAAATATCGGTTTCACTGATGATTTTCATTTATTTACTAAACGTATGAACAATACAGTCACAAACCGCTGAAACGGAGCAGAAGCTCATTAAAACCCAAAGCAGATTGGTTAAAACGTCAAACACAAATCTGACCTCAAATCAGCGGATAAAGGACAAAGCCCAGTCGGGACTACGGCAGCCCCTGAGGCTCAAGCTGATAATGGTTTTAGATGTTATTTATGCACATTTGTTTATCTCGTACAAAAATGCATGCAGTTACTCGAACCATGATGCCAGTATGAAGATGCATAACTGGTTCAATCATTTTGCAGTGCTCTGTGGGTAAACTGCTGCTAAAGCGTGGACAGCACGTCTTTGTTCTCTCGTTCTCCTTTGTCTGCCTGTAATTTGGCCCTCGGGACAAAGTCTGTCAGGATCGCAGTCAGAGATGATAAACCGCAGCTCCGTTCTGCTTTCAAAGCTCCACAAACTTGGGTTTAACGATGGTGAATGAATGTTTCTACTGCCTCTAGTCTGTAACTAATGCCTAAATCAACCGGAATTACAAAAACAGACAATCCCATCATTCATTCATCCAAAACCCCTTATGCTGGGAGAATTTATGATAATATTCAGGAACTAAGCTGCTTGGCTTCATTAGTAACTAAATGGGTGAATCTCACAAAGCATGTCAAGAACATTCAATCAAAATAAGAAATAAGAATTTGTATTTTACGTAAAGAAAATGAGGAAACGAATAACGTCAATGCAAAAACAAAATCTTAATTATTAAAAACTGTATTAATTTAAAAATTATAAATACTTATTTTTTTACTAAAAAAAATATGAGTTTTATATTTTTTCCCTTTTGGCTTTGGTGTGAAATGTGGAAAAATAAATGTATTTTGAAAAATGCACAGATACATATTTACACATAATATTTGTATTTTACTTAAAACTGGCTTAAGTGGAAACGTATTGGTCAAAATTTAACAAAAAATACAAGAAAGTCATTAATTACTATTAATCATGTTTTCTCTCAATCAAAATATAAACTATATATTTTATAAAACATTCTTTAATTTTTTCCTTTTGATTTTGTAGGAAGAAAAACAGAGAAACAAAAAATGATTTTGTTTGACTAAAAATCAAGTCTATGTTTTGGGTCATTCAGATTTTAGAATGTGATGTTATTTTCCTCAAACAATTTTCTTTAAGTAAAATATTATTTCTTGTTTGATTCATTTGGGTTTGTGTTGCAATGTGACCCGTTTTCATGAGATTCACTCAATTCTTCTATAGTTACTATAGTTACTACTAACTAAAATTCTACATGGCATCCAGTGGACGGATTCGTCATTCCGGAAGCTAACAACATGCAGAATAAAATCACGTTGCACTGGGATCAGATTAATGACTAGAGCTACAGGGAGACTGACGACTAACGGTCAATAATCCATAAATCATACCTGGAAGCAGACGAATCTGAAAATCTAGATTCTGTAAATCAAAACAATGCAGTTGGACAAAACGAGGGATGGATACAGAAAGCAACAGAGAGAAGAATTTAATTTCAAATTCAGTGTGAAAATATCTCTACAAGAGCACACCTGAATTAAAGCTGAAGTGCGCCATTTCTCCTCTAGAGGCACAAAGCAGAACTGCAAGCGCAATTTATGTTGCCACGCCATTGCTATGCAATCGCTATGGTCTTGTCTAGTTTTTAGCATGTTTTATGCAGTTACTAAAGCAGCCTGGTTAATTGCAATTTTGGCTAGTTACTAGGCTGTAATTATGAGGTTGCTAGGACATTCTGGGTAGTTGCTAGGGTGTTGCTAGAACATTCTGGCTGGCTGTCATGCCGTTGCTATGTGGCTACCAAGGTGCGCTGATTTTTTTTCTGTGTTGCTACAGTACTTGTTTGTTATAATATACCAAATGGTGACCAAGTTGTTGCTATGTGGATGCCATGGTGTTTGAGTGGTTTTGAGTGTGTTGCTACAGTATGTGGTTGTTGCAGTGTTCTGAATGGTTGTCAGGGTGTTGCTATGCAGTTCTAAGGCGACTGTTGGAGTTATGAGCGGTAAATGCAGTGCTTCTGTGCAGTTGCCAAGGTGTTTTGAGTGTGCTGCTACAGTATGTGGTTGCTATAACGTTCTGGAAGGTTGCCAAGGTGTTGCTATGCAGTTAACAAAGTGTTTTGAGTGTGTTGTTACAGTATGTATTTGTTCTAATATTCTGGATGGTTACCAAGGTGTTGCTATGCGACTGCTAAGGTGTTTTGAGCATTTTTTAGGATGCTGCTACAGTATGAGGCTGCTATAATGCCCTGAACGGTTGCTAGGGTGTTGCTATGCGTTTCTGAGATGCCTGTTAGAATGTTTTGGGTGGTTCCTATAGTGTTGCTATGTGGTTGTCAGGTTATTCTGTGATTGCCTAGATGTTTTCTTGTTGCTACAATATGTTGTTGCTATAATGCTCTGAAAGGTTACTAAGGTGTTGCTATGCTGTTCTGACTGAGTTACTGTTAGAAAGTTCTGGGTGGTTCCTTGCACTGGACGGTTGCCTAATTGTTGCCATGCGGTTGTTCAGAGTGTGTTTTTTAGTATGCTGTTACTTTTAGTATGCTGTTAAGTTGTTGCTCTGTGATTACCATGGTGTTTTGAGTGTTTAATCTTTTTGCTACAGTATTTAGTTGCTATAATGCTCTAAATGGTTGTTAGGATGTTGCTACGCAGTTGTGAGGAGACTGTTAGAGTTCTCTGAGTGGTTACGGTGTTAAATAGAGTGTTTTTAGTGTGTTACTAAGTGGTTGATACAGTGTTCTGGATGGTTGTCAGGGTGTTGCTATGCAGTTCCAAGGTGACTGTTGAAATTCTTGGAGCGGTAAATGTGGTGCTTCTGTGCAGTTGTCAAGGTGTTTTTGAGTGTGCTGCTATAGTATGTGGTTGCTATAATGTTCTGGATGGTTGTCAAGGTGTTGGTATGTGGTTACCAAGGTGTCCTGAGTGGTTGTGTGTGTGTTGCTACAGTATGTATTTGTTATAATATTCTGGATGGTTACTAACAGGTTTTTTCGCTTTTTGCTACAGTATTTATTCGATTATAATACACTGAATGGTTACTAGGGTGTTGTTATGCGGTTCTAAGGTGACTGTTAGAATGTTGTGGGTGGTTCCTATAGTGTTGCTATGCAGTTGCTGTAGTATTATGAGTGGTTGCCAGGTTGTTGCTATGCGATTGCCATGTTATTTTTTTGTGTTTTGAGTATGGTTTTGCTATAATGAATGGTTGCTAGGCTAGGGTGATGCTATGCAGTTCTGAGGTGATTTTTAAATGGTTACTGTGGCGTTGCTATGTGGTTACCAAGGAGATCAGAGAGGTTTTTAGAGCATTGTATGTGGTAGCTATATTGCACTGGACAGTTGCCAAGTTTTTGTGTGTTGCTATGCGGTTGATACAGCATTGTGGACAGTTGCCAGGATGTTGCTAGGCAGTTCTAAGGTGACTAGTAGAATGCTCAGAGTGGTTCCTATGGTGTTGCTATGCGGTTGCTAGGGATCTGGGTGATTGCAAAAGTGTTACTAGGCAGTCGTTTAGACTTCAGATTAGACGTATAGCAACTCTGCACATTCAAATGGAATACGAGAAAACACTGTAACCTTAAAAAAAAGACACACTTCAGCTTCAATCTGAAACCCCAGCATCAGGACAGATATCCTGCAGATCTGCGCGTCTGTAAGACTCCACGAAGACGAAGATGAAAAGATTGTGTTTGAAAGCTCAGCTCCTCTACACTGTAACGAACAAAGGAACGTTTTGTTTTGCAAGCGCCGGGCCGGCTGGGTAACACACACACACAAGAGCAGTATGTGTGTGTGCGCGCCGATAACCAATGAGTCATTGTGAACCTGCAGCTCCTGAGGGATTTCTGCTATTCAATTCAAAGTGAGAGGCCAAAAACACGATGATGTACGCTAACGGCCCTGTTGCTTTGCAGTGGTGGTAATAAACCTCAGTACTCAAGAGGGCAAGAGACCCATTAAACCTGATGTGTTATTATTCTATAGACGCTAGATATAAACAAGTCAGCTGACTAATTAACTTCAACTATATTGCTCAGCAAAGTGTTTCTGTCCCCGAAATGCTTTAAGGAAGCACAGGCGCCTCACCTCCTGCAGCAGATCCGCCTGCTCGATGGCTTTCAGGACGTTTTTCTTCGACGTCTCCTGAGCCTCGCCTCCCAGCAGGAACTCGTCCAGGATAAAATACGCCTTCTCGAAGTTAAAGATGATATCCAGCTCGCAGACCTGAGTTTGCGAAGATCAATCACTGTTATCTGCAATCGCTTTCGTTTTTGGAGGCAACTAGTAACATCAGTTTATTTTCTGCCGCGCGACTTACGCTGCCGAAGTATTTGTCGAGCAGCTCGACGTAGCGGTGGATGATCTCCAGTGTGATCAGTTCGTTATCCTGGTCCTCAATGGCACAGCAGAAATACAGACTGGCGTATCTGTAACATAAACACAACATTTGTTTAAGTGCACTGTCGCTAATTCAAACTGATTTGAATCAGTTGCTCTGAGTGGTTACCAAGGTCCTGCGAAGTGACTTCTGAGTGGTTTTTATTGCGTTGCTAGAGTAAGTGGTTGCTAATATATTCTGGATGGTTACCAAGGTGATGCTATGTGGTTGCCAAGGTGTTTGAGTGTTTTTAGTGTGTTGCTACTGTACATTTTTGCTATAATATTCTGTATGGTTGCCAAGGTGTTGCTATGTGGTTGTCAATTTGTTCGGAGTGTTTTTTAGTGCGTTACTACAGTATGTGTTTGTTATTATATTCTGGATGGTTACCAAGTTGTTGCCATGCAGTTTCCAGGGTGTTCTGAATGATTTTTAGTGTACTGCTACAGTGTGTTTTGTTATAATATTCCGTATGGTTTCCAAGGTGTTGCTATGCGGTTGTTAAGGTGTTCTGAATGATTTTTAGTGTACTGCTACAGTGTGTTTTGTTGTAATATTCCGTATGGTTTCCAAGGTGTTGCTATGCAGTTGTTAAGGTGTTCTGAATGATTTTTAGTGTACTGCTACAGTGTGTTTTGTTGTAATATTCCGTATGGTTTCCAAGGTGTTGCTATGCGGTTGTTAAGGTGTTCTGAATGGGTTTTAGTGTACTTCTACAGTGTGTTTTGTTATAATATTCTGTATGGTTGCCAAGGTGTTGCTATCCGGTTGTCAAGGTGTTCGGAGTGTTTTTTTAATGTGTTGCTACAGTATGTTTTTGTTATCATTTTCTGGTTGGTTGCCAAGGTTTTCTGAGTGGTTGAGTGTGTTGCTACAGTATGTGTTTCTTGTAATATTCTAGATGGTTGTCAAGGTGTTACTATGCAGTTGTCAAGGTGTTCCGAGTGGTTTTTAGTGTGTTGCTACAGTATGGGTTTGTTATAATATTCCAGATGGTTACCAAAGTGTTGCAATGCAGTTGTCAAGGTGTTCTGAATGGTTTTACACTTGTTGCTACTGTATGTGCTTCCTATAATATACCTTCTTATAATGGCTACCAAGGTGTTGCTATGCGGTTGCCAATGTTGTCAAGACAATTAGATCAGACACTAGACTAAAACTAGCAAACTGTTTACATTTACAAATTAAAATGGATGATTTACATCTATGCAGGCAGGCTAAATGGACTAAATATACAAAAGTCTTAATTTGTGGATTATCGTCCAATGAATCATCTGGTTCTGTCTGATCAGTGTGTGCGTGTTCAATAATAATAATGTATACTCTTTTTCCAGCTGACACTTCTTTAATCATCATTCTCTCAGATGGATTTCTTCCCGGCGGGAGCTGCTGAGCGAGCGTTTTTCGCTGCAATAATGTGCTGCTGTGATCAGCAGACGGGACGGTCATTCATTTAGTCTTCTGGACAGTCATCTTTCACTGTGTTTGTGTGCGAGACACAGACAGAATGAGAATGAATTCAGAAAATACAACTTCTGTCCGAAATTCTGTGATATGAATATGCATGTGTCTGCAAATACGCATATATTATGTCAAGTTTATCTGCTAATAGCTACCAGGTGTGCTGCCTAGATGAAAATAATAGTGAAAAACTGGCACAATAAAATGTGCACATGGGGTGAATGTAATAAAACAAATTCAAATGAAGTGAACAAATAATTAAATAAAATGAAAATGCAAATGGAGTGGATGTCATAAAATAAAAAAATATGCCAATGAAAAGAATCTGAAAATCCCCCCCCAAAAAAAAAAAAAGCAAATGGGGTGACTAAAATTAAATTAAATAAGAAAAAATACTGTAAGAATATGCACAAAGTTAACAAGTAATAACAAAAAAATAAACATTTTCAAATGGAGTACATGTAATAAAATACAAGAAAAAATTAAAATGCAAAAAGAATGAACGTAATAAAATAAAATAATGCAAATTGAGTGCCTAAAATAAAAATATACAAATGGGGCAAACAAGAAATAAAATAAAATAATTTGCAAATGGAGTTGACAATTAATAGTTAAGCAAGTGCCTCAAAAGATTTGATTATTACGAAAATATGAAACCACAAACGTTTATCAAAACTAGTGTACATCTAGTACAACTTTGTTTCCACACAAACTAATATACAGGTGCATCTCAATAAATTAGAATGTCGTGGAAAAGTTCATTTATTTCAGTAATTCAACTCAAATTGTGAAACTCGTGTATTAAATAAATTCAATGCACACAGACTGAAGTAGTTTAAGTCTTTGGTTCTTTTAATTGTGATGATTTTGGCTCACATTTAACAAAAACCCACCAATTCACTATCTCAACAAATTAGAATATGGTGACATGCCCATCAGCTAATCAACTCAAAACACCTGCAAAGGTTTCCTGAGCCTTCAAAATGGTCTCTCAGTTTGGTTCACTAGGCTACACAATCATGGGGAAGACTGCTGATCTGACAGTTGTCCAGAAGACAATCATTGACACCCTTCACAAGGAGGGTAAGCCACAAGCATTCATTGCCAAAGAACCCGGCTGTTCACAGAGTGCTGTATCCAAGCATGTTAACAGAAAGCTGACAATTAAAAGAACCAAAGACTTAAATGTCAGTCTGTGTGCATTGAATTTATTTAATACACGAGTTTCACAATTTGAGTTGAATTACTGAAATAAATGAACTTTTCCACGACATTCTACTTTATTGAGATGCACCTGTATAAACCTGTACACACTGACTGTCAGAAATTGCATAAACCAGCCAGGATGGAACATGTACTTTTGTAATACTGTACAACATGCATCAGAATAAGCACTGACAGGCATTTCATCCAAACACACTGCTGCTTAGCAATGCTAATGCTCGGTTTGGACGGAGCTGACAGAGCCAGACTGTAAGGCTGTTAAAAGCGAGCGGCTGGGGTCAGAGGTCAGACGAGGCGAGCTGTGAGGGAATCAATCTGGAACTGAACCAAAGCCTGAAGAACTGCTGTAGACACAAGGTCACGTTCATTATTACAGCCCACAGTCTGTTCATCTGTCTAGACTCTCTTTCTGTTTCCGTTTAGTGTTTAGCTGTTAGTAGTCTGCAGCCTAAATCAAAGTGTAAAATGGGTAATTTACAAGAAAATAAAAATATGCAACTAGAGTGTACAAGTAGAAAAAAACAAGTAAATTAAACAATATTCAAATGGAGTGAATGTCCAAAAAAAAAAAAGTTAAAAAAAAAGCAAATCAAATGTACAAATACCAAAAAAACAACAACAAAAAAACACAAATGGGGAACTGAATACAACAAGACAAAAATAAAAAAAATAAGATAACTTAAAATAAAAAATTAAATTATGCAAATGGAGTGAATGTAACCAAATAAAAAATAACATGCACATGGAGTGCCTAAGCAAAGAATGTAAACAAAAATATGCAAATAAATGAAAATAAGATATGCAAACTGAATAATTAAAATGAAAATGCAAATAGAGTAAACGTAATTAATAAAAATACAATACAAATAATATGCAAATCCAGTGAACAAAGCAACAAAAATAAAATAACGTAAAAAAAATATATAAATAAAATAAAAATATGAAAATGAAATGTAATGAATATGAAAATTTGTGCATAAATAAGAAAATTTGCAAATGTAGTAAATGTAATAAGAGTAAACAATTAACAAAAAAAACAATGACTTCAAATATAAAATAAAAGTGCAAAACAGTTTGTTTACGGTTTTTAAAAAATTCTGAATGATAAAAAAACTGCATATGTGTTTATCTGTATATATATACAGTGGGTACGGAAAGTATTCAGACCCCCTTCACACACACAGGGACAATCTTCACTGTCAAACTGATTCATAAAGCAAGCTTTTCTTTTTCAACTCTAAAAAGCTAAATTGTTTCTTTTAAGAAACAGCCTTTGGGTTTGTGTTGATCTGTAGTCTTTATAATTAAATTGTGCAAATGGTGCACATGCTGACATGCAATGGAGTAAGTGCTGGTGTGTGATTGTGTATTCCTGCTTTCACTCTGAGCCTGTAGTGTTCAGAAGAATCACGACTCGACTCCTCATGAAACAAAGAAGAGAACAAAGCGAACGTGAGGACAGACGCCCTTCAGCACCCTCCAACAGAAACACAGCACACTTTACATTCACTCATCATACTCAATACAAATCATCACGGCACACTAACAATCAGCTCACGCTGCTCATTTCAGACGCACCAGAAAACACAATAACAACATCATACACTGCTAAATCAATTATTATGCCAATGTTCAGATTTGTATTCCGCTCATTCTCAGAAGCTGACACACACACAAAATAATGTCACGAAACACTAAGGTATTAAAAGTTTAGTTAGTGTGTGTGTCTGTATACGTGTGTGTGTGTGTGTGTGTGTGTGTGTGTGCGCGTGTGTGTCTGTGTGTGTGCGTGTGTGTCTGTATGCATGTGTGCGTGTCTGTATGCGTGTGTGTGTGTCTGTATGCGTGTGCCTGTATGTATGTGTGTCTGTGTGTGTGTGTGTGTGTGTGCGCGCGTGTGTGCGTGTGTGTGTGTGTCGACCTGCAACACCATAGCAACCACCCAGAATACTGAATGAAAACAAACATAACACTCCAAGTGAAATAGTGCTGAACTATTACAAAAACAGTACTGGACCATTAAAATGTACTGTGCTTTTTAAATATAAATGCATTTTAATATCTTAATTATATCTTGATCATTCATGTTAGTTCGTAGTGCATTAGCAAATAACAGCAGATTCTTTAAAATCTGAAATTGTACATGTGTACATTAACAATCTAACAATGAACAAAACTTCTACAGCATTTATTAACCTAAGATCTGAGTTCATGTCATATTCATGGTTGCGGCTCAAAGGGTTAACGTTACAAAAGTGTTACCATTTCACATAAACCCAAACTTTTAAAGATAGCCATCTTTTTAAATATCTACACAAAAGCCACAGCATTAAATAGGGATGCACAATATTATCGGAATCGGCCGATAAAGGCTTAAAATGCAAATATTGGCATCGACCAATTTGAAAAGATTTTGCTGATCTGCCTGGCTGATAAGACGAATAGCTCACATGTGCTCAGGGTGTGATAGTGATAAGATAAGGTCAGCAGTGTGGTCATTCTTGAAGCAAATGTTTCCCTTAATGGTTAGATTCTCTGTTTTGGATCACTGTATTTAATCTGAGAATGCACGTACAGAATGACGCGTCCTTTGTGCGACAGAGTCAGCTGTTTCTAGCATGTGCAGTAGCAGCAGTCGCAGCCTCCCCCGGGTCCTAATGCATTCAGATACCTATTAGTATTAACAGTATTAATGTCATAAAATCACAAGTCTGTTTTGATTTGAAGGTCAGAAGCTATAGCTTTCATGAATAAAAATCACAAACATGACACTTGTAAATTAAATAATTTCATATATACAGATTTATTCATTAATATGTGATATATTCTTTTTTTAAATTGATTATGAAAACTTAAAATACAATAAATGCTCTTTTGCTTTAGACCATCTATTAATGTTAAATCCACAAATAAAATGTTACGGTTTGAACTGCATCTGCCAAAAAAAAAAACCCTGCAAAGATTGATTTTATTACAGTTATTTTCAAGGCTTTCAATGTACTCTTTAATAATGCTTATTACCACTAACAAATACAATTTTACTCAAAACTAACCAAAATTAAAAAATTTTTTATATAATTTCCACACAGGAGAGACTTGGTGTTGTTTCAAAACAACTGGGAATATATAATCGGTATAAGCATCAGCTATCGGCAAAAATAATTTGAAAAATAGCGGCATATCGGCAAAAATCTAATATCGTGCATCCCTAGCATTAAAATTACATATGTATATTGCATGCACACTCTCACACTTTATTTGCTCCTATTTTAAAACACTTGAAGAATATCTAATCAAAATATCAAAACATGTATTACATGGATGATAAAAAAAGAACTGAAATCGGGTACATTTCTGATTTGTTTGTATTTCTGTCGACTGCATGAACATATCAGTTTGTTTTCTCGCATCACTAGCTTTAAATATGTACCTTTGCTGACTAACAAATGCATATAAATTAATGCAAATAGAAGGTAACAATCTATTATACCTAAATCTAAAAACCGTTTTGTGGCTTTTTGTCGTGACAGATCGCTATAGCACCTCAGTTCAAGTGGCACATGAACCGATCATCTCTTCCTCTGTACTAGTTACAGCACGAATAAACATGAATGAACATGTTGAATGTGTCTGTCTGTCTGTCTGTCTGTCTGTCTGTGTGTGTGACTGTCTGTGTGTGTGTGACTGTCTGTGTGTGCGCGCGCGTTTTTGTGACAAATGAGGACATACATTTGTATAACAACAAAGGTATTACAAGGAGAAGGTGATTTTTCAGGACATTACCCCATGTCCCCACTTTTCAAAACGCTTATAAATCACACAGAATGGAGTGTATTGAAAATCTAAAATAGCACAAAGTCTCCTGTGAGGGGTAGGTTTAGGGGTAGGGTTGGTGTAGCTGTCTCTGTCTGTCTCGGTCTGTCTGTCTCGGTCTGTGTCTGTCTGTCTCTCTCTCTGTGTCTGTCTGTCTGTCTCTCTCTCTCTGTGTCTGTCTGTCTGTCTCTCTCGGTGTCTGTCTGTGTCTGTGTCTGTGTCAGGTCAGTGTGTATGTACCCCTTCCTCCGCTGCCATGGAAACAGCATCATCTCAACACTCCCATCCGAGTGAACGATCACACACTCACATGAGGAGAACACAGAAACACAAACTGCACATGCTGTTCAGTCCTGAAAAACTGCACACCAACCGCAGATTCCTCAACTAATTACCATCCTAATTCCATCATCATATTGCGCCCATAAACTAGCTCCGAGTATGTAAACATTTTAATCATTTGAAGCAATAACAGTATCTCATTCAAAAACTTTTTGAAAAAAAAAAAAAACACTTTGAACACTATGTTGGACTTAACACTTTGAAATCTGTTTTCAAAAGTGTGTATTTTCAGGCTCCCAAAATGCCACTGTTGTGTAAATGAACGGCCAAAACACTTCAAAGGTTTTGAGTTTTTATCTGAAAACAGTGTTGCGTAAACATAAAGTTTTTGTTAATATTTTGAATTTGATTTTACTTTTTATATTTTGTTTTCATTTCAATTTTAATAAACGTTTTAGCAATTTTGTTTTTTTTATTAAAAAAAATCGATTTAGTTTTTTATTAAGGTTTAGATTATTTAGCTTTAGTTATTTTAGTACTTTAATTTGTTTAAACCAATCAAGCAATGATGTTTTAATGATTTTGGTTTACAGTAATAACCCTGTTCACTCATAACTCATCTCAGCATGCTATTTTTTTTAAATCACAAAATCAAGTCCTACACGTTTTTCTCATCGCATGTCAAATTTTACCATGAAATAAGTCAAATGACAGAAGTAAAATTAGCTGTCAAAGCCATTTCATACTGAAATCATTCTAACAGCAATCAAGTGACAAGTAGCTCTACTTCAACTGAAGCCCAGCTTTAGCTAATAATTAAAGCCAATCAGCAATGAGGTTTCTTTTTCCACAGCATGGATAAATCAGTAGCCATGATGTTAATTCATTAACCTCTTTCTAAGCACAAAAAAATAAGTAAATAAATAAAACAAACATCATTCCCAACTCAGAAAACACAGGTATACACGTATAATTATTTTATTTCAACAACTTATTTACTTTAAGTTGAAATTCTAAAATAACTCAAAAATGTTTAAATTAATTATATTATTTTTTTTATTATTTATAATTATTATAATTAATTTTAATTTAAAATGTTAAAACTACATAGACAAATGTAACAAAATCTAATGAAAATGACAACAACACAACAAAATTACTACGACCTCAACAAAAATAAATGGGAAATATAAAATTAAAAATTCTAAATATTAATAAAATGTACATTAGTATTCATACGCTGCTCAACTTTTTGTGTGGTGCCCACATTTCTCATTATTTTGCAAGTTTCGTTGTGCAACGTCTCAAATATTTGATCGTATGATCATCAAGAAGGAGATGGTGGATGTACAGTAACTACTTCAACATCTGTCTCAGTGGAAATGAAGTGCCTGTTGAGAGCATTGCTGTGTGGGATAGACGATGGGCCACTCAATCGCTCAAAAACAGGTTGAACGCTCTACTGACCTTTTATACACGATTTTCAGATCCCTCCACTCCAGGAAGCTGCACATCTTGGGTTTGCGGGCCAGAACGGTCTGCACCAGCTCCCGCGTGATCTTCTTCTTCTCCTTATCGGACAGAGGAACGTACCATTTCTGCAGACGGAGCTTCCCCTGTCTGCTGAACAACAGCATGAACTGCATCTGAGAGACGAGCCAAGAACAGGAGTGGCGATCAGACGCATTCACGCCATACATAATGTCTTACGGTAAATAAAAGCCCAGTAAATGTGGCATATATAATCACTCAGCATCGAATGTATTCAGTGGCACCGAATCATGCAAATTAATATAGCATCAAATCATGAAAAACTAAATTAACATGGAAAAAGGCACTTATTTAATTACACACTTTACTATTTTCACAATTTAATGGCATACATGAAATGAAAACCATACAAATTTTCTTCACTTGAAACGTAAATATTATATATACATCAATGCATCTGACATCTATTCTGAAATGTAAAAAAAAGGCACATATTTAAAGATATTTGTTTACATTTTACTATTTTATCTAACAATTTAATATTTATAAAATAGCATGCAGAAATTAAAACCATACAAAACTACTTGGAAAAAAAGTTGAAATAACAGAAAATATTGTTGAAATAGTTTATTTAGTTTAAGTAGCCTACTACAATAGCTAAAACAGACATTTAAAAAAACTATATATAGACATATTTAACAAAAAACAAAACCACAAAAAACTAACACAATGACAAAAACACACAAAATTACTAAAACTTTCAAATTACACGAAAATGTAAAAATCATGATAAACTCTCTCTCTATATATACTGTATATATATATATATATATATAATTTCACATTTGCGGGTTTATATAATAGAAAAAATAATTATTTTTATGAATAATAAAAATTATTGTAGTATTGATATTTAATTCAATATTTAATATAATTAATTAATAAGATTATTATAATTATTATCACCATTATTGTTGTAATAATAACAACAATATAATAATAATAAGTAAAAAAAATAATAATAATAATTAAATGCATGTCATACGGATAATATAATGATATATAGATTATCATTATAACCAAACAGGTACATTTTTATATTTAGTTGCATACATTATTATCATCACCATCACTATTATACTGTAAAAATGCATGTCGTACGGATAATATAATGATATATACATTATAATTTGCTGAATTTAGGCGCCAGTTCATTTGCACAGGGTTGGGTTTTACTGATAGAAATATTAGCATCATAAATTAATTCAAAGAGCAAATGCACAACACTTACAGCAGATTTAGCGTTGTACACATCTGACTGCAAAGGTAGGGCTAATTAACGCACGTGCTTCAACTAACAAGCGCGTGATCTCCAATGCACGCTGCTGTTCACAGCATTGAACCTTTTTCGGAAAAGAAATGATGTAACAGCACGAGACGTACCTTTGTGAGCAGTTCTGGATTCACAGTGATTCGCGTCTGTCTCAGAGTCAGCTCGAGTCTTGTGTACAGTAGATACTAAACAGCGGCAGCTGACGACTCGGCAGCTCGGGGAGCTTTCATTGGTGGAAAGAAGACCGTTATTCCCGCCCACTCAGGAGCGCAGGCAGTTGATTGGCTGATACATGCGCCTGTCACCGCCCCCCGTCAGTGTTGTGGGAAGCGTGTTTGTAAAAGGGAACACACATCAGAGGATCACACACAGTGTCAAATTTATCTGGTAAAAACATTCTGTGCATTATGGCCTGATTGCTTTGCGACAAACATCCCCTTATTTGCATAATTAGTATTTTATTGCCACACAGTTAATGCACAAACACAAAATGCAAGCTGTGTACCATGTGTATATATTCATTTTGGATGATACCTCAGATTAAATAGCTCAATATACACATCAATGATAGACTAGCAGTGGATTTTACTGATGTTTTTCAAACTAAATTATCTGGACTGTTAGGAAAGAACTAGCTTACACAATGGTGGTACTTAATGAATCACTAACTATATATTTTATTACTGCGTTATGTATTTTGCACGTGCGCACCTGTTAGATTACATGTTAGAAACGCTTACAATTAATTAATTGCAAAATCTGTTGGACACATTTATTTGAGAGTAAACAAGACGCTCCCTAAAATCGCTGATAATTAATCATTTAAAACAATAAGTTCACTGATGTTACAACGCCACCCAGTGACCGCTTTCTGCCATAATTAGCATCGCATATCTGATCCAAGTTTTCATTTTGATATTAATAACTAAAATGTACATGTGCAACTATATATTTGGCCTGGTATTAAACTACAAAAATACAAGTAGGCTACGCTGCTGGGATGGACTTATAAAGGCTTCTGAGAGAGTTATTTGTCTCGTAAACAATGTTTTTTCCAATCTGACTATACGAAATTGTTTCTAAATTATCCCATCTTATTATGGGAGGAAAGCAAAGTTCACATTTGTTATGGTCTCCCACTCCCGGCATGTGAAACATTACTCTAAAATGTTAAAACAGGATAAGTCGTCTACATTAAAAAATATATATTTAAAAAAAAAAAAAGCAATAAGCAATAGGCCTATCACTCAAAACGTCAGTTTCAGACTGTTGTTAATAGCAACTTTTCTTCGCTCCTCGAAAACTGTGCTTTATGCTGGACGGTATTCATTTATCGTGAGTTGTTCAAATCGCGGTACTCTAATACGGTTTTAATAATTAAAATATGAAACCGTAATAACCGTCGGGAATTTTATCATGATTTATCGTCAAACCGGTAATCGTTACATCCCATATATATACACACACACACACACATTAATATATACATTAATAGCAACTTTTCTTCACTCCTCCGAACTACACGCGATAAAAGGTCTTTTCCACGTTAATCTGAGTTTTTGTCCTAACTAGCCGCGACGGTGACACGCGAAGTTTCTAATTTATAAACGGTTTCTACATGACAGTAGATAAACTCAGGCGATTGTGCTTTATTCAAAGTTAAACGTGTCTAAAGGGAGTTCAAATATAATTTTGTGTGACCTTATAGCCAAACTGAAAGCAACACCACAGTTTGCCTCAGATCTCGGAAATAAACCAAACTAAGATGTTCGGTAAAACTGAACTCACTGCGAACCAGCGAGTGTATTCCATAGCGAAGATGTTATCGGTCACTCAGTATGTACATTTAATGTTAAAAAAAAGTGTAATATTTATGAATTAGGTTATAAACGTATACATTTCGTTGCGAGTGCGCTTCCAGAGACGGCCCGCCCACACACGCTTCTGATTGGCTGTGATATTTGATCGATTCTGTGGTGTCGCGTCTGGAAACTTGTCGCGTCCCGTATAGTTAGGACACGGTGTTAAGGAAAGGCACAGTAGGCTAAAACGCATTGAAAACAATTAAAATAAATAAATAAAAACACCCGGCCTTCCTTGGTAGCCTACTCTTTACACAAATTACCTCAGCTGCTAAATACGTCAGCATATCCTAATTAATATATATAGCCTACATGAGCTAAACTACGGCATGAGAGAAGCAGGTAAATGTTAAAGACTTCGGTACACTGTCTGACCAGTTGTACAGAATTCATTGGTGACCTTTCCTTTAGAGACGGCTCCACTGCAAAGAATATGTATTATTGAATCACGTATTAAAAGCTGTTATTTTTCAGTAGGCTACAGGTGCTGTTGCCAAGCAACTCCTGGTTCCCGCCACCGCTGAGAGCAGTTAAAAACAAGCCGGTGGCGAGTTGCGTAGCAACACAAGACGCGAAAACATCTCAGGTTACTTATGTAACCATGGTTCCGAGTTGGGAACGAGACACTGCGTCCTCTAGGGGTCGCTATGAGAAACCTAGAGGACGCAGTTCGAAGTTCCCATGAAAGGGAACATCTCTGGTTACTTATGTAACCATTACGTATTAAAAGCTGTTATTTTTCAGTAGGCTACAGGTGCTGTTGCCAAGCAACTCCTGGTTCCCGCCACCGCTGAGAGCAGTTAAAAACAAGCCGGTGGCGAGTTGCGTAGCAACACAAGACGCAAAAACATCTCAGGTTACTTATGTAACCATGGTTCCGAGTTGGGAACGAGACACTGCGTCCTCTAGGGGTCGCTATGAGAAACCTAGAGGACGCAGTTCAAAGTTCCCATGAAAGGGAACATCTCTGGTTACTTATGTAGCCATGGTTCCCCGAGTAGGGAACGAGACACTGCGTCCTCTAGGGGTCGCTATGAGAAACCTAGAGGACGCAGTTCAAAGTTCCCATGAAAGGGAACATCTCTGGTTACTTATGTAGCCATGGTTCCCCGAGTAGGGAACGAGACACTGCGTCCTCTAGGGGTCGCTATGAGAAACCTTGAGGACGCAGTTCAAAGTTCCCATGAAAGGGAACATCTCTGGTTACTTATGTAGCCATGGTTCCCCGAGTAGGGAACGAGACACTGCGTCCTCTAGGGGTCGCTATGAGAAACCTAGAGGACACAGTTCGAAGTTCCCATGAAAGGGAACTTTGGAAACCGTTAATACAAATTGGCCTATTAACGAACCTCAAAGCGCATTTTAAATTACGCTGCACCAAGTAAAACAAAATGTCATAGCGTACAGACGGTGTTTTTAAAAACGGAAACATCTTTATTCATTATTTACACATCTAAAAGCGCAGCATTTCAATCTCAGCTGTCAGGAGCTTTTTTGCAGCGGTGTGGAGCTCTCGCTGCGTGATGACGCGCCGCCGGTTGAACTTGGAGAGCCGCGCGGCTTCGGCGCCCATCTGCGCATGCGCGTCGGACAGGTGCCACATCACAGAGACTGCGTCACCCACGTCACTCAGCTCCTTAAACAAGAAAAATTATCATTTTAAAAATGCACAAATAAACACGAATCTCGTGTGAAGTCAGTTTAAAAGAGTGAAAAAAAAATAATACATCAGGCATAGTTTCGCCTTGACACACCTTCTCGATCTTGTAAATGTAAGCCGAATATGCCTTGGTGCTCTGTTTGCGCGTCCAGCCGGTTCTCCTGGACGTCTTCAGGGACTTCTGGCTCCTGTCAGATGAGGTTTTCATGATGGCTGCTGTTCACTTCGCAGTCAGTGCCTGAGATAGAGCTTCTGAACACTCTGTTTAATGTGTCTCAGCTCAGCTCAGCACAGGTGAAACATCTCAGTCTTAATTAAAGCTTATTACCCTAATTAAGGCATTCACACAAACCAAAGGCCCAGTGACACTGTGATGATAAATCATAGTTTTCATATAGCTTAGGGCAGTCTTACGTTTATTTGTTCAACAAATTAGTCCTCAAATTAGGCACATGTCATTATGTCACAGTTCTTTTTCTTTTTTCTAATTTAGTTTAGTTTTTTTAGTAAAAGCACTGCTATGTTTTTGTAAGGACTGGCCTACACTGTATGTAACCTGCAATTACCTCACATATTTTTCTACCCGATTTAATGCATAAAAATTAGTTTTGTTTCTATAAATGACTAGCCTATAGTTACGTTGATTCATTGATTGAATAGGCCTAAAATATTTTGACTTGAATAAAACCAGTTAATTTTGGCTAAATTAAAATTTTTCAGAGTGTCTTAAGGTTTCAGAATTTTATATGCAACTATAAAAGGCCTAATTATTAATGTATATCAATATAATTGCATTTGACGCCATATTTAATTTAAAGTGAATGAAAACAGGCTTTAAAGTTCTACAGTCTTTATAATAGCACGCACTATATTAAGATCTCAGATCATGTAATTTTTTTTTTTTTTACAGCTCACTAAACTGTTTTATGGAAAACTATAGTTTTATTGTTTAATCAAGAGAAAACAAACACACCCGGTTTAAGCAGTTACTACATTGTTAATGGTAGCCTACCACACTGAATCCCAACCAAAAACTCTATCAAGTTTCCTGAGCTCCAAAAGAGCAACCTGTGAGCAATGTACAGAAAGAGGACAGGCAGAGGCGATCAGGACTATTATTGGATGTATGGAGTCAGTGGATTACAGTAATCCAGAGCACACTGACCGCTGCCGTTCATAGCGCACTAGACCTGCTCATCAAGATGGACGTGAAGATCCTCAGTGTGTTTCTGCTGCTGCTGACTCAAGGTACAAAGTGTGTGTGTGATATGAGAGCTGGACACACTATCTGTGTGTTTCCAGTAGGCTACTGTAGCCTAGTTTCCAGGAACTTGACAGTTATGTATTTGGACTCTTGCAGATGGTCTTCATATCTAGGATAAATGGACCTAAATGTGTGCAAAATTCTAAATTCAAGGGTTTTACTTTAATGATTTTAAAGGCCCGTTTACACCGATAACCGATTATGCTTATTTTAAGCACGCTTTAGAAGTTTTTGTCTTCTGCCGCTTTAAGTGCTCGAGCTGTTTGTAGAGTGGATTCTGATTGGCTGTAAAAAAAAATGTTTTATCATTCATTGGCGGGAAATGGCCTATAAAAATCGCACTAAAATTGATTCCAGCGATATTGTCCCTCTCTGTCTTTATACATAAGCCTCTCATAGAATTAGAAAGTTTGCA